TATATATATATATATATATAATATTTCTATATATGTGTGTATATGTATATATATATGTATATGTATGTGTATGAATATAAATGTGATATATATGAATAATACACACACACACATTATAGATAGGCATAATGATAGTACAAAACATCTTCATATACTATTTCCCATGCATATACTGTACCTGTAAACAGCAAAAGAGAAACTGCTTTGCCCTTCCCCTCTCAGCTCAAACTGCCGACACTGTCCCATAATCTATTAACAATCGCAAAGTTCTTTTTAGCAAAAGTACCATTTTCATCAGAAGCAATAAGAGATCAACAAATCAAATTAATTCTTCAGTTATGGTCTTCCAGAAAAAAATGGCAATTCCTTGTTGCAGAATTCCACAAGGTCTTAGTACAGCTTCAAGCCTATACTAGCCCCTGGCAAGAAAAAGAGAAATATTCACACACAAGGGAGTGTATGCGCTTTTCCCTTCATTATTCAGTCTGGAACAACTGGAGCAGTTCAGCTTTTACAAAAACTCATGTTGCTGTCACTCTACACAATCTTAAAACATAATCTATGGATATAGTTCAGAATACTAAGTAGGTTTCACAGTGCACTTCACACTAAAAAAAGTCTTTTACATGGAACATTGTGTTAATTCCACCAAAAAGCCCATGTTTTAAAACAAGTGTGTTCATCTTAAAAAAACAAACTGAAAACCATTGTCTTTGGACAACAAACAACAGACTAGCCTGCTTAAGCTCTATCATTATCTTTACCAATAGGACTGCCTTTATTTTATATATATATATATATTTTAGACAAACCCATTTTAGTTCTAACCACATTCCTGAAAAAAATAAGAGGAAAAGTCAGGAAGAAACCAAATACTTACAGAAAAAAATCTGTAAGCTTCCAAGTCACAAATGCATATAAAGAAAAAAAGAAAAAGAAAAAAAAAGTATATATAAATATATATAAAAGAATAAAAAAAATAAATAAATGGTTACCTGATTCACCTCACAGTGTTAAATTCATCTCGTTCAGAATGTGAGTGGAATCTATTGGTTGTTAAGCAGTTTGGAGTTGGTAGCACTTGTTCTTTCTTATTTCACATTTCCAATCCCTTTCACATCAATACATTTCATGTTATACAAGTAGGCATGGCGTGAAGAAAAGCATTTGAATTATAAGTAATGTAAGTACAATCATTTGTTAAAATACTTCAAAAATATTCCACAAATTACATTCTCTCTGGCTAAGAACACCAATAATCAAGAAAAAAAATAAAAATAAAAATAAATGTACATCATGGAATATTCCTTTTAATGCATAAATATTCTAGTTGAATGCATTAAAAAATATATCATGGAAAAATACCATTTGAGACACAACACTACACAAACTTCAACAAAAATACAAATTATACTTTCCTAAATGACTTCTTTTTTGAGTATTGCAGAAAATTTAAGGAGAAAAACAACTTCTTTACACATTACTGAAACAGGGAAAGAAATATCTTTTTTTTTTTTCTCCTATGAATCTCAGAACAGAGTAAACACGGAACACAGATCTCTTTCACATAAATGACCATAGATGTACTTATAAACTATTCTTTCACATGAACGGCAAACAATTCATCCTCAAAAGGTATTTCATTTCGAAGCTGAGATCTTCACATTTCAAACAAAATATGGACACTCCGGTCTAATATTTGAGATTATAAAATATATAAGGAACTAGGAGAGAGCTACTGATACAAACTTGTGTGCGTCTGTGCTGTGCGTATGGTGTGTCTACGTGTGTGTGTGTGTGTCTATGTGTGTGTGTGTGTGTGTGTGTGTGTGTGTGTGTGTGTGTGTGTGTGTGTGTGTGTGTGTGTGTATGTGTGTGTGTGTGTGTGTGTGTGTGTGTACATGTTTTTTTTTTTTTTCTTTTTTATGTGCTTTACAAACAAATAACATAACTAACAAGCAACCAGTGGGCTTCCTTGTTAAAGTGACAGCTCTGGAATAAGCTACAAGTAGTTTAATGAAGTGGTCCTCTGTTTTTATGCATCTAATCTAGGTCTAACACAAACCCTTCTTACAAAAAGGGGAAACTTGAACTCTTTAATGGTCAAAACAAAGTCAGAATTCATTCATAAAATAACTATTTCTTAACTCAATGCCGACAGGTATGGCATGTACTTACATGTTATGCCCACTGTGAGTTTACTTTATTAATTGTTTTTACACATAGATGGTTACACTTGTACTAAGTCACCGATGAGCTAATTACGAGTACTGCCTGTCTTGCCCATTTACCCTTTTCCTTGATTTACGAAAATATTTTACGTTATCTTAATTTGCTGTTACTAATGTTTATAACATTATAGTAATTATAATGTTTATAATAAAAATAACACCATTGATATTCATAACATTCGTAAAAATTACATTTTTTCCGGCAATTCAAGGAAAGATGAAATCAGGTAAGGTCACAAGGTCTACTAACTGACTCCTTTGTGGCTAAGCACAAGCAGAGCCATCTATGTGCACAGACATTTCACAAAAATATAAAAAAATGAGCACAGTATTTTCCTCATTTTTTCTGCATTTTCCACAAGCAGCATGTCGTTAAATCAGTCAATGTTCTTTTCTTTTCAAATTTGACCAAACCTTTTCCACCCATCTCACACATATATGACAACCTTTTAAAATCACATATGACCAAATAAAGAAGAAGAAGAAAATAAAAAGATTATAAAAATAATTACTAAATACAAGCAAAGTACTCCGTTTGTCATTTTACCATGCTTCTGGCAATTAAACAGAAAACAAGCATATCAAAAAGGCAAAAACAATATCCCACAGATGTGTGAAAGTCTCTTAACCTAAAATTACTTTCCAGACAACCTACACAATGATAGGAGACAAATAATGGCTTCAACTGACAAGCGCAGAATACTGAAGTAAGAAAAAGAAGAAAGAAGAAAAAGAAAGAAAGAAAGAAAACTAAAATACCATTATTCACCAGACCAAAAACTGGTGCTTCCTTGTGCCCTTATGAAAAGCTCTCTTACAGTGTAATAATTAAGATAAAAAATAAATAATGAATAAATATAAGCCTCATTTATATTTCAGTGCGCAGAAATATAACCTCTAAAAATACAGTTTCTAAATACACTATATAAATATGCAATGCAAGTGTGCATTCATGTGAAATAAAGCACTCGTCTCATTCACTCAAAGATAAGTTAAACATAGTAAATGCACAAACTGACAAAAACACACATGCATCTGCACACATACACACACATACACACACACATACAAAACTAATCTAAACAAACTGTACTGATTTCCAAGGTACGCATACGCAATGTATTGAACTGCAAAATCAACATGTAAATCAAAATTCTCTTTTTCCACTTCATATCAAACATATTTACTTCTGACAATGCAATGAAACATCCTCATCATGGACAGACAAATAGATACAAATCTATAATATGTATATATCCAATATACACTATGCACTCATACATACCTATATATATAAACCTATCACGTGTATATGACTTGTTTTGTATTAAATATGAATGTCCATATGCAATGAGAATGATGCCAAAGAATGTATATATGTGTGTAAGCACATGTGCATGAATGCTACATTGATCAATCAATGCCTTTAATTCTATTAATATCCCCCAGCAATGTGCCTCAGTTTCAACACATGTTTTACCCTTCTTTGAAAAAATGACTTAAAAGGAAATCTTAAATATTAAGAGCAAAATTAATTCATTATCTGAGAAAAGAAAAATGAGAATAAGGATAAATGATGTCTGAAAACAAGAAATTGAAGAGGAAGTAGGAGGAAGGAGGAGGAAGGAGAAGGAGGAAGAGGAGAAGAAGAAGAAGAAGAAGAAGAAGAAGAAGAAGAAGAAGAAGAAAAAAAAAAGAAAACTGAAAAAGAAGCAAGAAAAGAGGGGAAAAAATTAAGATACAGAAGACAAAGAAAAAGGAAGTAAAAGAAGAAGAGAGTAAGAAGAAAAAGTAAAAGCTGATGTAGACGGACAAAGAATTGTGCTCGTTAATACTTCTGGGTTAGTTTGGCCGCAGATACTTGATATATCCTAATGAAAATTGCAAACTTAACAAATCTTTATTAAACTATGAACTATAGCTCAATACACTTACAAAGAAATGATAACTACTGTAAATCCATCAGTGGCGTGTTTGTATCTATGCTGTGCTTTGCCTTGCTGTACAATGCATGATGCTTTCTTGCTATTCATGAGTGTGTGCATGAGTGTATCTATATATACATATATATTTACTATAACAACTGGTACGGTACCCCCAACAGCATCAGTAGCAATAAAATAATAATAATAATAATAATAATAATAATAATGATAATAATGATAACTAGTAATAATAATAATGATAATTAAAAAATAAATAAAAACTTATTCTTAGAATTATTTTCATTACCTACAACACTATTGTAAATTTAGTAGTTAAACTTTCTCTTTCATCTGTAACAAAAGAGTGAAATAAATAGAACAAAAGTTAGAATAAAATTTAAAGTCTGATAAACGTAATACAGTGACGTTATTACAATCTATCGCTCTAAAATCCTTCAGAGGAAATCATGTAAACGTCATGAAACAGTTCATATTCTGTTCATGAAAAAAACTCTTTATCAACCTTAACCCAATAACTGCTACTCATATCACATGATGGAGAACATGTAGCCGAGATGCACATGATATGATGAAAAAGTTTTTTTGTTTTGTTTTCTTTTTTTTTTTAAGCAGTTGCACTACCTATTGCTCCGATACGGATTAGAAACAAAAAGCAGATGATCCGAATGGCAAAAGCAGAAGAGACAGTCTAAAAAAAAAAAAAAAAAAGTTGAAAGAAAGTCATTAACTGATTCCACAGTTATTGGGTTAAAAAACCTAAAAGGAAAAAAAAAAAAAAAAAAAAAAAAAACATAAGAATTAACTTATGAGTAAGCGTCAAGTCATATAAATTTTGGCATGACCTTGCAACGACTCTATCTACAAAAAGCCACCATTAGTTGCAAGCCATCCTCAATGCACTGGTAGCAAGCCCTTGTCAATCTCATGGTATGCGTCAAGTGGGGGATAATGCATGCTGACTCCTCCCACCTCATAAAAGCGTATGGTGAAGTTATCACAAGGCCAACATCACTAGAATTTTTAAAAAATAAGTAATAACAGTGATAAAACACACACAGACATAATCAAAAACTAATAATTATAATAATAATAATGATAATAAAAATAAAATGTCTTCAATAAACAGAAGCACTTTTCTGTTTTCTCTCTCTCTCTCTTTTTTCATCCTTTTGTTTACTTTTTCTTCATTAATCTAATAATGTAAAAGAACTCTTAAACAATCTTTTGCACCTTGGTTACCTTCTCGGTGGAAGCTAGTTTGAGCAGCTGCTTCAGGAGTAAGGATCCTGATCGTGAATTTCTTCCCTTCTTGTTCTTGCTCTCAAAAGATGACGACGCTGTTATGCAACATTACCAGCATCATTAGTTAATAACTGTAGAACTCTCGGGATAGTCTGTTGGTCTTGTACGTGAAATATTGCCTCTACAATGGCAAATATATATATAAAAATATATATAAATAAATAAAAAGTCACGTAGAATTATATACCATAGTTATTACAGGTATGATTTGCTTTCAGATGTCTTCTCAAATATCTGGCCTTGCAAATTACTGTTTCCCACTTTTAAATTACCTAAAGTGTATGATTATGAAGCACAAATGCAGCAGACAAAGTGGTTTTAAGGAGAGAACTCAGAAGAAACTGCACAGCATGTAAATGCACGAGAAACTAAAGCCTTCCTGAGACTGTGGGCAAAAAAGGAGAGAAAACGACAACAATGAAAGACCTCCATAGTTAAAGTAACGAATTAAGAAAAGTAAAGAGAGAACAACCGTTTTTCTAATCTCCTTAGTAGCAACCATGTAATTTCGGTCTATAGCTCGCAATCCGATTGTGACAAGTGAAAGTTTCATGCCATATTTACATTGCTGGGGTTAGGATGGGTGAGTAATTGTCTTATACATTCTTCATGTAATGTTTATGTGCACATTTTTTTTTTTTTTTACCCTGAATGATTTCACTGCGACTCTTTTTTTTTTCCTTTTTCCTCTTTTTTTTCCTTTTTAAACAGCCACTTGTTATACTGCACAAAAAAGGGGGGGTTTGGGAGAGCTGGCCACAAGAACACCTCACATCCCCCTCCCCCCCTTGTTGATAATAATGGTCGGCTTGTGTGAACGTTCTGTCCTCCTCTCTCTCTCTCTCTTCTCCTCCTCTTCAAGACGGATGAACTTAACTGAGTTTGTGATCTTGCGTGTACTGTGGGTTCGAGTCGAGGAAGGCTCTCAGCTTGGTCGGGTAGTCGGTCATGACGCCAGTCGCTCCCGCTTCGAAGGCACTGCGGAAATCTTCTTCTGAGTTCATGACCCAGAGGTAGGTCTGGAGGGAAAGACAAAGGGGGAGGGATTATTCAGTGATTATACATTTTGACAATTGTTCACTGGTTATATTTCTTATTGTATAATAAAGGGACTTGAGGTAGGAAGAGGAGGAGGAGGGAGAAAGAGAGAGAGAAGTGGAGAGGAGGAGGGGAAGGGGGAGGGAGAAAGAGAGAGAGAAGTGGAGAGGAGGAGGGGAAGGGGGAGGGAGAAAGAGAGAGAGAAGCGGAGAGGGGGAGGGGAAGGGGGAGGGAGAAAGAGAGAGAGAATTGGAGAGGGGGAGGGGAAGGGGGAGGGAGAAAGAGAGAGAGAAGCGGAGAGCGGGAGGGGAAGGAGGAGGGAGAAAGAGAGAGAGAAGTGGAGAGGGGGAGAGAAAGAGGGGTAGGGAGAGAGAAGATGAAAGAGAGATGAAACAAAGAGAGAGAATGGGACATATAAGTTACCTGCTAGCTGACAACTCATTATCCAACATATCATTTCATTCCGACATACACAAATCTACACCATTATTCATTATCTAACAATAACTCTCTACCAATATATTAGCCAATTCCAATTGGCCTGCCGATATGATTGCAGGTAAGTAAATTGATTTGAAAATCCATATACACAAGAGTAATAGGCCCATTATCATCATTTAGTAAAAAAAAGAAAAAAAGAAGAAGAAGAAGAAGAAGAAGAAGAAGAAGAAAAAGAAAAAGAAGAAAGAAAGAAAAGAAAGACAAGATAAGATGAAGCATATAGTATAAAGACAGTGGAAGTAAGGTCTTAACTTGCATCACTGTCTTGTTCATTAGACGAGCTGACCAGCCAGAAGTGTGGAACACTTCCAGACAACTAGCCTTGTTATTTTCCCTTTTCACTGTGTCAGATTGTAAAGTGATAAATGATGGTTCATTCTGAAGATGGTGTTCTTAACAATCTTATGGCTGAAATAGTCTCCTTATTTGACTGTTGGGTAACATGCATTGGCTGTCATAGTGTGAACAGGACAGGAAACAGGAGAACAGAGTAAGAAGGGAAATCAGAAACAATGAGATACTGAGGGTCCGAGTGAGAAAAACATCCACAACAGAACATCAACTGCAGCACAAAACACAACACGCCTGTATCACTAAGAATGCCACTCACCTGAATGCCTCGCTTTGATAGGTGCTCAAACAAAGACCGCCTGATGAGCAGAGCGTTGGCAATCTTAGCGATAATTGAGTACCACCATTTCTCACCAAAGTTCTTGCTGTATATCCTGTTTGGGAGAAGGCAGATTTATTATATCAGGAAAGATTTTAAAAGCTTCAAATGGAAGAAAGAAATGAATCAAATAAAAAATATATACTTTTATTTGAGCAAGTTACTTAGTATAAGTACCCTCTAAATAAATGCTATTACAAAATCCAAATACATATGTACATCTCTCTCTCTCTCTCTCTCTCTCTCTTTCTTTCTTTCTTTCTCTCTCTTTCTTTCTCTCTCTCTCTCAATCTCTATCTCTCTCTTAGACTCACTCCCCTCACTGCAAATTGGGGCCTCTTAGATGAGCCCCAACCCCAACCGGAGGCACTGCGAAACAGCACTACCTCCTAAACCCACGATGTTTCCACACACACACACACACACACACACACACACACACACACACACACACACACACACACACACACACACACACACTACACATTCTCGCAAATCCCTCGCCCGTACATCCCCTCAAATACTCATATATCCCCTCAAAATACTCGCCTCATCATTTGTACTGGCATGAAGACCTCGAGGTGTGTCTCCTTGAGGGGAATGAACGGCAGGAGTCCCGTGTACAACTGGAGCAGCATCAGGCACACCCGCTGGGCACTAAACAGCAGGCACATGTTGGGGTTCTGCGGGGGGAGGAGGAAAAGACGGACGGATTTAAACGGGAGAAAGATGCGAAAGGGGGGAGGTGTTGGGGGGGGGGGGACAAAGGGTGCAGGTCTGAAAGGCAAAATAAGGGATAGGAGGAAACAGAAAGGAAGGGGACAGCAGAAGAGGGAAAGAAAGGATAGGGGGGAACGGGAGGGATGGAGGGAGGAGAAAGGGATGGAAGAGAAAAGGGATGAGAGGGAAGTGGAATGAAGGGGATAGGGAAGGATAAAGTAGGGGATGAGAGGGAAGGAAAATAGAATAGGGTGGGAGATGAGGAAAAAGAAGGAAAGGAAGGATGGGGAAGGGAAAGAATGGGGGGAAGAGGAAGGTGAAGGAAAGGACAGTAGTACAGAACAAAACTCCAAACAGCTTTCTGAAACTTAAAAACTTACCCATGACAAAATATGCAAAAATCCACACACATTAATATATAAACAATACATACATACATATATATCTTATGTGTATATATATATATATATATATATATATATATATATATATATATATATATATATATATATATATATATATATATATATATATATATTTATACACACACACACACATATATATAAATATATATATATAAATATATATATAAATATATATATAAATATATATATAAATATATATATAAATAAATATATATATATATATATATATATATATATATATATATATATATATAT